ATGCGGGAATTTTCATATAATTAAGGGTAGATTACATCAATTATCACTGAACTTTACTATCTCTCATATTTTATTCACTGTACTTTTAATTTTTTAATTAACTCACTCAACTTTGTACATTATTTTTTTTGTCACCCCTCCATTAACTTTCTAACGGCTTATGATGTGAATTAAATAAATATTTTTTAATCTTTAAAAAAAATTAAAATAATTAAAATTTTCCCCACTTTCATTCTTTATTCTTATTCCACCTCTTCTCATTCTCTCTATTTCTCTCCTCAAGAAAAAAAAATCTAGATTCTGGCCACCATACATGTAACACCCTAGACCAGTACAACACACAGTCGACCGATTTTAAGGTGCTACTCAGAACCACCGAAGTGACTGACTAATATTTTCTTACTTTCTTTAAATATAAAACAACTGTAAAATAAACTGAAGAATAAATAAAATCTTTACATTGAGGAGCTCCAAATTAAAATATTTACACTTTACAAAAATAATACAGACCGCTCTATCGAAACTACAACTCAACTGGATAATAAAGTTTATAAATATACATTCTCTTTCAAAAATGTTGAGATGTACTCTGAACCTACACTGGTTTGAACTGAGTTTTAGTCTATCTACTGCTCCTCACCTGCTGGATCTACTAACATGCCCACATAAACAATATGAAGGTTGAGCTAACTAGTTCAGCGATACACTAATAGCTAAAACATGCTAATTGCATATCACTAGAAGGCTAGTTATGAAGTTTACTGATCTGATATGCTTAGTGAATATCCTTGCGATATTCGTTCTTACGCTACTGTAGACATCATGGTGTAACTGAGGGATTACTGCATCTTGGAGCTTACGCACCCCTCTAATCTACTAAGATATGGCCCCCGAAATTCTAAATCGGACACCATATCCCTGGTTAACCCACCCCTTGTGAGTTTCAGGCCTCGGCCTTAGTTAGTTTGTTTTAAGGGTCTTGAGCCCTGCCTAAGGATATATCCGGAATGCATCTATACTTTCGACTCCACTAGCTTTTCTAAAGGAACTTGGGTGTCCGAATAGTTTCCCGAGCATCAAACAAGCCTAGTATTATTTGTCCTTAATTATTTGGTTTGCACGTTTGAATTGAACATCAATTATGTTCTCACTTATAGTCTTATTTGGTGTTATAAAGAAGTGTTGGGGTACCTCAAGTCTAAATCCCTTAAAAATGGATTTTTTGACCCAAAACAGACTGAAAGTAACGATACTAGCCAAGAGTTTTGATACTCCTGCAAAGGTTTTGATACTTTATATAAGTACTGATACTTTTAAACATTATGTTCTGCCTAGCTTTGATACTTTCTAGGAGTTTTGAAACTATGACCCAAAGTTTTGATACTCTTGTAAGAGTTCTCTTGTAAGAGTTTCAAGTTCTCTTGTAAGAGTTTCAATACTCTTGCACAAGAAACTCAATTTTACCCAGAAATGAAGAATAAGTATCAATACTAACCATATAGCATCAATACTCTACTTGCATGAGTCATAAAACAAGCACAAGAAACTCTATTTTTCAATCCCAAAGACCCTAGTGAGGTCCCCAAACACTCTTAAAGTCTTATTTGATATTAAGGGAGCATAACTAAGGCTTAGAAACATGTTGAAAACATTAAACATACAATCTACCATGGAAGGCTAATAAACATGCTCATACTCAACTTTAAAGCTAAACTTCTTTCTAATGATCCTACAATTGGTATGGAAAAGCTAATAGTGTGTTACTTGGATTCTTTGGATGCTACAGCCTCTCTCAAACAACTAGGAATCTACCTTTCTTTTACCCTTAGCTTTTGAACTCTCTTCAACCTCTTTGAAATGAGTTATTTACTCAACTAGAGGCTGAATAAAACTTAAACACATTCCCTATAACTCAAATCCTTTCTTAAAATGGGCTTGAATCACTTAATTTCTTAAAACCCATAAAAACCCATTTTTGAAAATATAAACCAAATCTTAAGATTAAGGACTCTAATGGAAGCTTAGGAGATGAAGAATAGGTTTTTTTTACCTTGGTTTCTTCAATCTAGGCTTGAAATCTCACGGGCTCTCACCTCTTTGTTTAACCGTGAGAAAGGAAAGGAAGAATAAAAGATGATATATTTTTAGGCTGATTATTTTTGTGGAATTCTTTGGATAACAAGGGGTTTATAGCCCTTGAAACATCTATGGGTAAACTACACTTCTAGTCCTTCTTCCTTTAACTTGCCTTTAAAAACTATCGCTTAACTAAAATTTTGGGCATACCTTAGGCCCAATACCCTTTATAATTGGTTTAAAATGGCTTGGAAGAATCTAATGGGCTCTATTGATGGGTTTCAGATTGACCGAAACTACTAACCCATAATTCGTGATATTACAATACATATCGCCATCGTCATCATCATCGAAGGTTAATATGTCTCAAAATTTTCCACCTAACACGTTTCAACATTTTGAATGCAAATTTAGTGTTCTTTTAACTGAAAACACTCCAAATGACTCAAACCCTAAATCTCAAATTACAACCCCACCCACCCTAGATGGCATCACCTTCATGTGATGATACAATCACTATTCTTTCTCGTTGTTCCCAACCCTAAAAAATTACCGACCACCCTTATTATCAAAAATCACAAGCAAATTTCAGATTCTTTGAATCCGATGAAGAACCAAATGATTGAGAAAATTCAGTTTCAAAAATTGGGATTAAGTTTAGATTGTTACTCACCTGCTACTTCTCTTAAAAAAAATCCTAATGCTCGAGGATGGCATCACAAAACTCTTACTTGTAGGATAGGGTGAATTAAAAAATGGGTGAGTAGGAACTATCATTGAATTAGCCTTGTCCTAAGAAGTAATCAAATGAAACCATTGCTTTATGATATTAGAAGAAGCAAGTGGATGCAAACTGGGTACATTAGAATTTGAGTATTTGAAAGAGGGGAGGAACGATGATGATTTGAGATTTGGGGCTTGAAGATCTAGAATTAGAGTTTGAGAGTAGAATTTAAGAATTTTTTATTTTTTTAAATTGTAAATCCTGTGTGGCAAATCTTATTATTAAAATAAGTCATACATAATAACTATGTTAATGAGAAAACGGTCGAGTGACAAAAAAATTCAGTATACAAAGTTTAGTGAGTTAATTGAAAAAATTGAAAGTACGATAAATAAAATAGGAGATAAGTAAAGTTCAGTGAAAAATGATATAATTTACCCATAATTAACGGCGATGGGTGACAAAGACATTTAAGCTTTCTTTTATACTAGACTATTATCTTTAGAGGACCATCCATAACACTTTCTCCAAAAGAAAGATATATAACAATCGTCGTATCAGCAACATGAATAAGTTCCATGAATGCTTTTCAGTTGGATGGCTTCTTATTTTGTATGCCTTTATACTATTTGTAAAATGCGTATGAGAATGGACCAAAATGGCAAGTCCAAAGCGGGTGTTTCGTAAGCCCAGCTTTGAGGGATAGATCGTGCGTTCACTTAAGGGACCTAATTTTTTAGTACACATTTCATTATGGGAACAAAATAAGAAACCCACTATAAACGAAGCAAAAGTTGGATAATGGCCCACTGTCACCTTTCGAATAGGATGAGCATTTGATTCGAATATAATAGATTTTAATTTGATCTAATTTTATATAATTTATTTATTTTTGTTGAAAATTTGGGTTTAGATCAAGGTTTTAAATGATTAAGTCAGGTCATGTCAACTTTGAATTTAGGATGAAAACTACTCAACCTAACACGACCTAGAAATAATTGTTATAATATTCCTCTTTTATATATTTTTTTTAATTAGATCCCCATTTTACCTACCTTCGCGTATTTTGGTCCGGGTCAATGAAAACACATCTAATGTCCTGATTAATGGCACTATAAATTAAAATAATGTGCTTAAATATGCAACGATAAACCAACTCAAGAAAACAGGTCTTAAATCCAAGGAAACCAACGGTCCAAGAGATCCAAATTCTATGAACATTTAGGTTGCACATAATACTTGGGCGACACATAAACAGCTATTAACCCACAACAAAGTTCACGACCCATGTCTAACAAATACGAGAATATTTCAAACAGCCAGCCCAAGATTTTAGCCTCATCCATGCTTCATCCAAGAAATAAATTCAGCTAATATATAAATAGGAGCAGAATATGGCATTTTTACGTGACAGCTAATGGTGGTGCTTAATGAGTTGAGCTGGAATTTGATTCGGTCAAAATTCGAAAAAATTTCAATTCGAGTTGATTCGACTCGAGCTCGACTCGAGACCTTAACGAGCTGAGTCGAGCAAAGTCCAGCTCGACTCGATAAGTTTGCAAATACCTCATTACTTTTTTTTATATAATTTTTTACTAGTTATCTTAAAAAATTATTTCATTAAAATTTTTATAATTTACTAAGAGATGATAAATGACTATTCTATTAATTTCCTAATAAAAATACTAAATTATTAATTAATTATTATTATTTTACTACACTAAAAAATTAAGCCCTAATTATTATTTTAATGTGTTTGTGGATTTTTATTTTTGAGTCTAGACTTTGAATTTGTTTCATACACTATTTTGATAATTTTTTGGTTAAATTTACCAATTTACGTTTATGTTCAGCTTTATATAGTATTAGTAGATTTTACCAATAGTAAAAAATAAGATAAAAATTTTGGTGAGCTTAACGAGCAACGGATCGGGTAACGAGCATGGTCGAGCAACAAATTTTTTTAACGAGCACGAGTTGAGTAACAAAATTTTTTAACAAGCACGAGTCGAACACTACTTAACTCACTATCGACTTGCTACCCTAGTGGCGGCTCATCTTTATTTGGTGACCGTCCAAATAAATTAGCCTATTCAGAGAGCGAACAGGATAATCTTATCTGGTATATCCAACAGCTCTCCCAGTCTCAAATGCAGACATATACACATAATATCTGGATTTTCTAAGTTAGATTTTAGAATTTAGACACAAGAAGAGGAAGCTCAATTTGCATTCATATGTGTTCTCAGACCGCAAAATCCACTATTCTTCATCTAAAACTCAACCATACACATCCATGTTTTTCAACTCTGTACAGAAGGAAAGATTATTTGAATACATTCTCCTCTGAATGTTTTTGTTATTTCAAGACCAAATATCCCACCACGGATAACCACAGTTGGACTGATCGAATAGACCATCCGACTCGAAACTGCGCCAATCTTCCGGAGACGTTACAGAATCATCAGCCGGATCCACCATGCTCATAAGGTTGGGTTCTTCTCCCAGTCCGAAATAATCCGTCTTTATCTCACTATTGTCATCCGATAAGACACCGAGTGAGTGTCCCCATCTTCCCATCGAAGAATCAGACTTCACAGTCGTTTCTCCCTTATCTCCATCGTTGCAGTTAGTCGCTGTAACTTGTCCGCAATACTGGCCTTCCTCCTTCGGCTTCTTAATCAAATCATTCAGCTTCTGCAACTGTAAATCAAGATTACAAATATATACGTTTCATTGAAGAAAAACAAAACTGTTTGATTAGGAACGTAATTAAAGCAAGTACCTGAATCACTAACGCCTGCCTCTCTTTCTTTAAACTCTCGTACTTGGCAGCTAGATTGTCGTGATTGGCTTGGAGGATACTGTAATCTCGTTGGAGCTGCTTGGATTTCCACCTTGCTCTCTTGTTCTGGAACCATATCGCTACCTGTCGTGGCTGCAAACTCAACTCTTTAGCCACCTGCAACTTCATTCGAGGCTCCAGCCTCGTTTCGGATTTGAACATCGATTCCAAAGACTTGATTTGTTCATCGCTGAACCGCCTCTTGTTCTTGTTCTTCTTCTTCTTGGTTGTTGCTGTGACCTCTGTGGCACTGGAAAAAGGCTCGGCCATCTCCTTGGTACATTCCAACATCTTTGCCCGGATAATTCTTCCTAATTAACTGCAGTTCAAATCTTTGTCCTTCATGTACAAGCGGGTTTGTAATCGTGGGGAAAGGAATGTTTTCAAGACGTTTGTAATTGTGAATATGGTGGTATTTATAACTCCCATATGCTACCAAAATATCTGCTTGGTTTTAGGGTCTCGTACAGAGGATTTCTAAATGCAATTAATCCCTACTTTATATCCAAAGTCTAAGGGGACATGATAAGTGATAACGTATGGTGCTTGTCCTCTTCTGCCTTTCCTAATATTGCCCATCCTCCTTTCCGTTCTTTTCATTTTTTTCCCGGCTGAATCTTTGTTTTCCAATTAATTGCCCCAAACATCCCCAATTATGACATATATTTTAAATTAATTCTTAAAATTCAAGAATATTTCAGTCAAGTTTTCTTATTATGTATGTAACAACCATATCACGAGTTCTTAATAAAACTTTATTTTTGTATTATTTTACTCACATTTATATCATTTATTAGATGTTTTATTCTTTTTTATCAAATTTGAACTCGATACTCCTAAATTGGTGTAGACTATCTTTGTAGCTTCAATTAATCTTTTTAAGACCAAATTTTCTTCTTTTTCAATTTAATCCTTAAGTCACTGAACTTAACTTTATGTCCTTTGCAAGAGTATTTTATAATTATGCTAACACATTTTGTTGTGTTCTATTTTCTTATGAGCTTTATACATTTTTGTGCTTTTACATTATCATAATTACTTTTGGTGGAAAGGAATTAAAAACCAATTCTGAAATTTAAAATTTTATTATTCTAAAAATAATACAAAATTTCATTGATCCCAAATCTTAATCTACTAACCCAAAACTCTAATTCACTAACCATGACAGACACTTCATCAATCCTATATCTTCAAACCTTTGCTCTAAATCACTAATCATAATATAAAATTAGGTACAAAAAGTCACTTTTAATAGAACGTGTCTTCGATCTATTCCGATTCATTTATACTATATATAAAAACGTGATTGAAAAAATATGTCTTTACATTTTGTATATATAAAACTATAATATTTGGTGGGTGAGTCTCCTAGTAAGGATTTTCTGCATACACAAGGATTCGAAATTAAAACTTTGATTAATCGATATTAAGTTAGTTATTACTTATACCAACTCCTGTTAGTAAGATTATTATTATTTTAATATAACTTAATAGACTTTTCAATGCCTAAATTATACTTCAAAATACTGTTTAGTGTTTAAAGATTTTTTTGTTAACAATAAGTGTCTAAAGTTTTCTCCGTTACCTTTTAGATGCTTACAGTTTTCTCTGTTACACTTTTAGGTGCATGCCATTATATTTTTAATAATAAAAAAATTACTTTTAAAAAAATTAAAAAAAAATCAAACCCCTTACGTCGTACATCTCCTTTTCATCCCCCACCATCGACAACAAAAGGTCACCATAGGCCAAGTTTTGTTCAGAGCAGGATGAGGAACTCAGCGGTGGTAGTTGTGTAACGTATGGACTATTGTAATCGTTGAAATCATCGAAAATAGAAACGAAAAACCTAGAAACCTGACGACCCTTCGCACAATTTTTCATGACGATAGGAGCAGTTTCACAGTTGGTAGGGGACTGGGTTTTGGTCGCGGCAGCGAGACAGTTCTGATGGTGTCAACGGTATAGGCCACATACCAATGGTGGCCAATCGATGGTGGAAGGTGTAAAATTTGGGGTTTATATTTTTTAAAACTATAATATTGCATTTTTAAATACACTTATTTTTAAAAATTTATATGTGTGACACATGTCATATAACGACAAAATTTAAAAGCCGTTACAGTCTAGGTATCTAAAAATATAACGTAAGAAATGTTAGATATTTATTTTTAACAAAAAATTATTTAGACAAAAAAACCGTATTTTGAGATATAATTTAAACACTAAAAAGTATATTAAGCATTTTAATAATTACTATTTTTTTCATTGTAGTTAGGTAAAAACGCTCCGTCCACTTTCTTAGCCGGTTTGAGTACCTTTTTTATTAAAATGGAATTCTAATATACATGTTTAAACATCACTTCACATTTTCCATTCTTATACTTGAAGGGTCGGTGCAACTTTAACTATAGATTTAACACAATCATATTAATAAATTTCATCTTTTAATGTCTCACATGTTATGTATTACAAGCAACCATAGTTACACCCATGATCGTCGGAGAACTCGGCATTTAACTTCATCGTCTTCGTTCCTGTCCTCGTCAGACCTTCAGGGATCCATCTTCATCTCTTCAGAACTTGAGCCGAGGCCATTTTGGTCACAACGGAGTCGCTTTCCAAACGCAGTTGCAACGTACTAGAAAAGAAACAGACTTTGGATTACTTTTCTTTTTCTTTTATATTGAGAGAAACAATTAAGTAAACCCAAGGAATCGCCGATAAAGAACAGTTGCCCACGCACAAGTATCTTTCACCTGTCACACGTCCTCCAACCAGAGATCGCCACCTGCACCCGGTCAAAACTTTGTACCCATACATCGGTTTTTTTGGGATTCGCACCCTCGGTGACGTGTATATAAATTGTGGTTCCACGTTAGACAAGTTGATATGATACGGTGAACACGTGCCGTCGTCTGATAAAATATTAAATATCAGAGCATTTCGAGAGTCTGGGTGGCTGTTTTTGTCATCCACCACTGCCTGCTTGCCACGTGGGTTTCAAGTTGCAACATTCTTTTTATTAAAAATAGAAAGGAAAAACCAAGACAAATATCTATGTATCTCTTAAATGATGAAGAAATGTAAGTACATGCAGAAGAATATAGGTACCACTTCATTGAATTTTCTAAATCAGAATTTTTTAACTAAAGTTTTGTTTTTAATTTTTTATATCAATTTGGTACAAAAAAATATTAAAAAAATGAGATATTTTGGCAAACATAGAAACAGAGAGCCAATGACATATTAACATTGAACGTAGCATAGGTAATAAGTCATTTCTCATATAAAGGAATATTTTTCTACTTGAAAACCCCTCTTGAATAGGCCACACTTGTTTTATTTGTTTGATTATCTGAGTTTTTTTTCCTTCTGAATTCTTTAATCTTCTATGATAATTAAATATTAATTATATGTTTGACTTGTTAAATTGTATTTTATAGTTTTTTCATTCTATTAATATTTGTTAATAAAAAGTTTAAAATAAACATTTTTTTGAATCAATTAGAAATAAAAATAATTAAAATTATATAATCCAATTACGTAGTGTAAAATTAAAAAGCTTTAAACTTTTTAGGATCGATGAGGGAAAATCAAAGGTTTAGATTAATATTAGGAAATGAAAATATATTCACCGTAAAAAAAATTAATTTAACCTTTGATTTTTTATCATCTAAAAATGTGTAAAACTAAAAACTTTTACACTATATATAAGTGGATCCCAACTCATAATTAAAAAAACGATATTGATGAATAATTAAACTGTATAAATGGATTTTGAGTTTTCAGTTGATCACTTCAATTCGATGAATTGAACTAATAATTTCAAAGTGAAATTCTAATTTGTCACTTGTAGTACTTAACTGATGGAACACTCCATCCTAGGATTAGGTTTTCATTGAATCTGTCAAACTCAAAGGATAAGGAGCCCGAACCTTGTATTCCTCTTTCATTATATGCTTTTAAGTTGAACCGTAGGAATTTATACAACCCATACCAAAATTCAAACTTCCCTTTCGAAAAAGCATTAAATTAACTCTTTGTTGAAGCAATATTAAAACAAGTTCTCTAAATAATAGTTAAAGTAAGGTGGGTGGAGGAAAGAGATAGAAAAGGGTTAGGGTCCAAAGTCTTTAGTGTTGAAAGTAATGATGAAGACTGTACTTCGAAAAAGACTTCAAATTTTATCAGTATTAGGCGATGAACCAACCCTACCTTTGATTACCGCCATTTTCTTCGTCTGGGTAAGATCAATACAATGAACCAATGAACAAACTCGGAGTGGCAAAGTTCTAAGGTGTATATCCAAATCCATTTTAAAGAAGCGATTGTTAAACGGTCAGGAGTCGTAATAATTCTTTAATAATGAAAGTGATTATATGATTGTGTATATTTAAAAAGAAAATTAATTTATTAATGATAAATGCATCTTATGGGGATGGATGTATGTAGGAAGTAAGAAGGTCGAGTTTAATTTTAATTAAAATTAGACTTTTGTCTCCTGTAATTTTTTTAGATTAAATATGTAGTAAATTCATATTATTTTGCATTTAGATACTTTACTTCTCTTCATATTTGATCCTAGTACTTGTAGATGTAATTACTAGAACTCGAATACTTTAAAGAGAACAATATTTTTTTACAACTTACGACACTTAATGAGTTTCTTTAATTAGTATGAGTTGATTACAAAATAATATTTGTTTAAAAAATTTTCAACCATTTAACAATGAACGCTTAAACAACCCTACATAGAACGTGCTAGAACCCAAAGCATCTAGGAATAATAATAATCCTCTTAACTATTGAGGTCGCTTAGTTCTGGAGGAGGTCGTTACACTCGAACAAAATGGGCACTTTTCTTTTACTTTGACAAAGTAGTAGATGTTAAAGGTTGAGCAAAGACTGCTAGCAAGCAGCAAGGGCAAGATGGCTGAACCTGAGTGGGATGGGGCACACCATATCGGATTCAAACAGTTGTATGTGTGTGTGTTTTGGGTTTGTTGAATTGTTGATAGGCATGAACCTGGAGATGAAAAGGATTATATTGCAGTCACAGTCAAGGAGTTTGTCGCTTTGAGTTTAAGGAAGTTGCTCAAAGCAGTGCAAGTTGTGGGAAATAGATTGTAGTTGGCGGAAAGTTGTTCAAAGATGTCTCGGTCATAAGCTGACATTAATACATTCCTATGGAGATCCGGAGGATAGTAAGTATTACAATACCTCGTCAGCTTTGGATGACATTTGCAGCAGCAGTCGTGGGCTTGAAAAATAACGAATAGTGCCGATTCTAGGTCAGGCTTTGCTTGTTTTAGGGCCATTAGAAAACTATCGAACTCATTAACCCAAAGGGCTTGAACTCAAAATGTAGCCCATTTTTATTTGAGCCTTGAGGCCAACTAATTTATGTTGG